ATTATTGTCATTATTTTTGTTGTTGTTGTTGTTATTATTATTATTATAATTTCACTCTTTGTCAGGTGTGGCTGTGCATATCCCTGAGTTCTATCGTGGCCGGCATCGCCACGTCGTTCCTGGAGTGGCACAGTCCGTTTGGCCTGAATCCAAAAGGTCGCAAGAGGACCAAAAACTACGGGCTCGGCTCTGGTCTGCTCATGGTGGTCGTGCTCATGACTGGTCACACCATCAATATCAAGGTAAATCGGCATAAATCATAGAGTATCATTATACTGTACGTGAACGTGCACTCTGACGTCACTTCGGTTCACTGTAGAGCGCACTGTTTGAGTGGGTGGTTGATGGGTGCTCTTGTGTGGTTTGCTTCTTCTTACCTATCAAACATCTATCGTCCTTATCTCCCCTCCTTCTTTTCTGCGTACTTTCTTGTAACACCTCTAATCTTCGGCACTTATATGACCTTATTGTGTTGCAAGTGCCGTAAAACTCTTACTAAAACTTTAGAAAAACTAAACTCTGTTCGACTCAATTTGGAGCCACATCGCTTCCTTTGAATTGCAAAGATCTATCTCTTCAGTACCTAGTTTTGAGAAACTTGACGTCGAAACTTTTCAGATTGACGACATGTCAAGATTTTTCAAATGCTATTCTTTGAATAGCTTGATAACCTCTTCGAATAATCTTACGATTTTGACAGAGCAGAGAGAACATTTCATTTGTGACCTCTTGGTCTAAAAACTCAAAATTCCCCCCAAAGTGTATGATAGAACTTTGTAATTCCAAGGTAGCAAAATCAAGGGAAAGGGGGTAGATCTGAAGACATAGTGCGCTCTTGACTATAGCAAGAAAATTATGCTCATGCACATGGTTAAATTATTATGTATGGGAAATAGGTAATACCAAGGCTGGAAATTTAGCTCAATGGTTGGAGTCAAGAATACGGAGAACACGTCTGCTTTGTCTTTGTTTTCATTTTTGTATTGCTTTTTTCGGTTGCTCTTTTTGCGTGTTGTTTGAAGTATTGCTTTTTTAAATCTTTAGATTGGGGG